CGCTCTATTCCAGCTGAAGAGCGCCTGTCCATCTGTCTGCGGTTAGTGTTTTTTACCCCATTCAGAATTCCTAAAAACTTACAAAGTGTGTCATTTTTCAATCACAATCCACAATGTAATTGCTCAGAAAACAGTATTATGCAACAATATGGTGTCTATGATTACTGTCTATGATGTTTACTGTCTACTAGTTTAACGTATTTTATGCTACACAAGTTTTGTCACGTGATTTTTATGAATGTAATTGTGATAAATATGTTCATATCATTTTGTAATTGCAGGTTTCTTGCCACTGGGGACTCCTACAGGACCATTGCGGGGAGCTTCAGAGCGGGCATATCCACCGTCTCCATGCTCATCCCAGATGTGGTGGCAGCCATCTGGGACTGCCTCGTGGAGGAGTTCATGGCTGTGCCTGGAGCAGAGGAGTGGAGGTCCGATGGAACTTCCCTCTGTGCTGTGGGGCCATTGATGGGAAGCATGTGGCTGTGAAGGCACCCCCCAACTCTGGGTCCATGTTTTTTAATTATAAGGGGCACCATTCCCTTGTGCTCCTGGCTGTAGTGGATGCCCAGTACAGGTTCAGGGTGATTGATGTGGGAGGGTACGGCAGATCCAGCGATGGAGGCATCGTGTCCAACTCTGCCTTTGGTGAGGCTCTGCGCGAGGTCACACTCGACCTGCCTCCTGACCAGTGCATACCTGGAGCTGACCACAGAGGACCCCAGCCCCATGTGTTCGTGGCAGATGAGGCCTTTTCACTGCGCTGCAATTTAATGCGCCCTGCCCATCTCCAGGATGAGGATGAGGATGGCTGGAGATGGGCAGGTTCCTGCACCGAGGGGAGCTGCTGCCGGTGAAGAACCACTTCCAGGCGTGCAGCGGATGGCCGCCTGGAAGCCAGCAGTGGACATAAGGAAAGTGTTCATGGCCCACTTCAGTGAGGAGGGAGCACTGCCGTGGCAGCCCACAGAGTAGTCATGTCCACCACAAGACTGACCCACATCTGGCCATAGTCCAAACCCATATTGATTTGCACTATTCTATTCACCTGTATACCTTCTGTTTCTAGGTAATGACTGCCAGACTCCACTGCGACTCCACTCCAACTTCAGGTTAATCATATGCACATTCAAGCTTTTCCATAATTACAAGGTTGTTAAAACAGTAAAAGGTGAAATGAATAAAAAATACTGTCAACTACTGTATCGCTCTTTAAGTGTTTGTTATTCCATCTTCTATAAAACCCAGTCAGCTCTTATAAAAGTAAATGTACAAATATAGAATAGCATTTTCTGTCAATATTATATGAAAGGTAGTAATGGTTGGCTTGAAGTAGAACACATGAGGTTTGAAAAATATTTTCTTTATAAAAAAAGGAACAAACAATGAAAAATAAATGAAATGTACATATAAACAAATGAAAAGGAGCTTGCTTGGAGGAGGTGCGGTGGAAGAGGAAAGGGACACATGTCTGTTTCCTCCCCTGCAAAAGGTGTTACCTTAGGTAAAAAAAACTGTACTGGCCAATGGTTCCAAATTAAGCAGAACGGTGCTGCTTTCATATAAAAGTTGGTACATTTTGAATTTCACAAATTCTTTTGACTCTGGTGCCACCCTTTGCAGGAGAGGAAAGAGAGAGAGCAGGAACTGATGGTCTTCTGAGTAGTCGGGCGGTCCGGCTGCTTTGGTCCGTAGAGTCTCCAGCAGCTCCCGCTCCCACTCTGAAGGCCCACCAAGGAAGAGGGCTCGGAAGAGGCCCACGTCCGTAGAGCCGCCAACAAAGAACACAGGGCAATCACAGTGTTAAAAAGTGGAACATGTATTTCAAAAAAGCAAAATGAAGAGAGCAAATAATATCTGTATTAAAGCCAGAGTGTGTAGACATAGTTAAACACATGTAAAACACTTTTAAGTTGTGTGTTTGTTACAATTAACTTGAACATTGCAGTTATCAATGAAATTACTCACACATGCACAAATTTCGACAGTTACAAACTAATATCTCTGAAGTGTATTTCGCAATGAAATTTGAAATTGGCTGTAAAAAAGTAATACTCTATTGTCTGCATTAAACAGGATAGCTGCCATCTTGTGGCAACCATTGCATGTATTTGTTCAGTACTTTTATAGCATAAGGTATTTCAGTAGTATGTTTTTATCAAAGAAAGAGGGAAGATGTGTTGTATCAGACCAAAGCTTCTTTCCACCTGTAGTGCCTTGACATCTTGTCGTTTCTCTGTAAATTTGTCGTCTACACTGATGTAACAGCCCTTGGGTAATTTTGGCATATTATGCAGTAACATTTTGTTTATATGAACAGTCCTGTAATAAGAATAAAAATATAACAATGATTAAAAAAAGCCACACCTGTAGGTGCAGAAGCAGGGGAAGGTCCAGCCCTCACAGAAGAAGAACCGGCTGAGGAAGCAGCAGCAGCAGCAGCAGCAGCTCAGGCCAAGATGTCTCACCTTGTGTGGTGGTGGCAGTATCTGCGCCAGAAGAAAACAAGAAATACAATTATTTCATATCATGTGTACATTGCGCTTATGACATTTATATGTACATAATAATGTACATTATTATGTACATTTAAATGATTTGTTCATATAAAAGGGAAAAGTGAAATTTAACACAACACATGATCAAGATCTATCCTGGTTTGAAAATAGCCAATGCCTATTTTCACCTGGCCATGATGTTAAGAAAGCATTAAAAGAAATGCATACACAGAAAGCAATATAAATGTAAAAGTCAGCAAAATGTGGGTAATAGAAAGGAAAGAAATGTATTTTTTCCAACTGTTCGAGGTCTCCGTTTGCTGCATGACACCGACCTTCAGCACCTCATATGTGTCCCTCAGATTCTTCCACCGCTTTTTGCAAACTTCCACTGAATAAACACATCAACTCGTAAGCAGGAAAGTAGTAGTTTTTTTCGCGGGGAAATATTTACAACATTGAAAAGTTAAAATAACTTACCCGAGACACCAACCACCTCGCTAACCCTCCTCCAAGCAAGCTTCTTTTTATTTCGGTCCCGGTAGCTGTGGTCCGCAGTGTTGTATAGCTCAGAATGAGCACCGACCTGAGCAATTGACGTGTCCTCCATAGCTGTCATCTACCAGTGTTTTTCCGGTAGTGAAATGCGTCACTACGTCACTGGAGGAGAAAGCTCCTGATTGGTCGGCACACGCGAATTCTCCCAAAAAGTTCAACATTGTTCAACTCTAGCGGCGGCCGCGTTGGAGGCACGAATCGCGCGAAACGCGCGTCAAAACGCTTGACATCTCAAAACACGCCGCGCGAATCGCGCGAAACGCTCGAATTCGCGCCGCTCTGGCCGCGCGAATCGCGCCGCGTGATCTCTCGCCGCTCCTTGGCGCGCGTCCCCCATGTTGTGTCAATGTAGACCCGCCGCTTTGGCCGCAGAAATCGCGTTTGGTCTGAACGCACCATAAGACTCTACTCAGCACTTTTCACTGCTTGTAATTCTTACAGTGGAATCAATGACCTCAAGTTTTCAATTAAATTATGTATTATGATGACTTAAAAAAAAATTGGGTATAGCTTCTTTAAAGTTTTGACAAATTACCTATATTTGACATGAGTTTGGATGTCATTTTCAAGTAGGTTTGGATTTAACCACAACAATCCACAAATGCCACCCAAGTCTCATAGCACCAGCCCCTCACTGACCCTCTGCAGGTGGTGAGTCCACAGGAGGATGGCTGCTCTGTCAATGTGAGCATAGCCATGATCTCTCAGCGGGAGCTTTGGGCAAAGTGGGGTTAAGTGTCTTGCCCAAGGACACAACGACAGCCGACATCAGTGGGAGCTACTGTTGCCCCTAGGCAAAATATATGTAAGTGATGTATTGGAAGACTGATAGCTAAAGCTATACTAAAACTTTAACTTCTAATTGAATCTAACATTATAGAACAGATACAATTATATGGGTGTTTTCCAGAGTCAATAGGCTTGAAAATAAAGTATAACATGCCATAGTATATAATATTGAAAGTCATTTGAGGGGCCACAAAAAATTGTAATAAAAAGGAATTTAGCCCCTGGGCCTGAGCTTGACATGCCTGTTCTATTGCGATTAAAGGAGCTATACCCATTTCTGCGAGGTTTGAATGTTTAGCACCGCCCCCAACTCGCTCACAGGGTTCTCATTTCCCCTACGCTCTCATCCCACGGAGCCATTTGGTTTTATTTGCGATCTGATACATATGCAAACATTAGCATTAGCGCAACTTAAGCTGTACAACAATCACTGATGAAATGGTACAAAAGCAACACACTGCTAACACGATATATAACTGAAAGATTACCACTAGTTCCGCGTCCACATGTAGTCCGAGCATAGATAGTCCGAGGCGGTCCCGCAGGTCTCTCCCATAGACTGTAAGTCTCTCCAGAGGATACGATGTAAGCTAGCTATGTTCACCCGGGCTTGATTTCTTCTTTGATCATTATTTCGCTTTAGTTCCCTCTTCTCTTCCTCACTGTTGTGTCGTTTGGGCTGTTTTGCTGTGTCTGCAGTTACAGCCAGAGGAGTTATAGCCAATTCTGCTAACATGCTAATGTGTTTAGCAGCACTGTAGAGGCGAGAGGACGCAGCCTCGTTCTGTGATTGGAGGAGAGCGGGCGTCACGCCAAGTCTCTGCTCAGCAGTTTTTACGGCCTGAATTCATACACAAGCTGAATCAATGAGCTCAAGTTTTCAATTAAATTACAGATTATAATACAACTTGTATGTAGTAATAAGCATTTTTATGAGCTCATAAAAAAAACGGGTATAGCTTCTTTAACCCTAAATTCCTACTTTTTTCTTCTAATGGGACAAAAGTAACCAATACTTAAAAATCTCACTCGGATCGAGACAAAACTCTATCTCTCTGTGCATTGATTGAAACAAAGACTGGGGGGGAAGTGAAAGTGGACGAGCGCAGAGGTCAGAGGTCACACGTGTGAAACAGGAGTGGGTGGTGGTACCTCATAAGCGTTCTTGATGTTGAGTGGCTGTCCCGTGGCCGCCACATGACCCACAATGCCCTTGTTCCACTCCAGCCTGATGCAGCTGCTACACGACTCCTCCAGCGTAGAGCCTTCAGCCACGTCGAAAAGCCGACTCACCAGAAACTTCCTATTGGAGCTGTCCTCACCCACCTGAACACCAGACAACAATGTGAGTGGGTAAGGGTTAGGGGAAGTTAAACAAAAATCTCAAAATTGGCTAAATGTATCTTAATATGAGCACATTCTGACAGTCTTAAAACAGGATTTGCCAATGCGACAAAGCATAATGATATTGTTTAAAAAGAATCAGAAAATAAAGTAACAGTTCTTGAAAGATGAAGAGGTTTTGTCCCATTGATAAATCTTTCAAATGTACTCAAATTAAGAAAAGAATTCAAGCAATTAAAGGTAAAGGTGCACTTTATTGATCCTTGTATAGCAATTCATCCTCTGCATTTGACCCATCCTGATGCAAACTCCACTCAGACCAGGATTCCTTAAAGACCAATTGCTATTCAAACTATATGGAAGGACTTTTGAATGTAAAAAAAAGAAAAAGTCCCATTGAGCTCAACGTAAACTATTTTAGTGTCCCTTGCCATCCTGAACTTTTTTTCTCCTTAATTCCTTCGGTTTTCTTTAAATCCACACTTTACTGCCACAAACTCTGCTCACTTCCTTCCCGCTCTGACTCCGCTTTACCACTGCTCTGATCAGCAGCTCTGATTGGTCAGAGCGTGGCCGAGCCCCTCTGTGCGCGTGCATGAGAGCCACACACGCGTATTTGGCGCAACGCATCATGGGAGCTCGTCCACTGCGCAGAACCGCGAGGACCTGACGATGCCCAAATATAGTTGAGTTCTGCTAATCTGCCGGCCTCCGTGAAGTCCCATGTGCTACTGAGCACAAGCCATTCATTTGAATAGGGCGCCATCTTGGATCACCGGGGCTTGGTACTATCCTGGTGCGCATTGAGTCTTGCAATTATCTTGAATGTAGACTCTACATTCAAGGCTAGGCTTAAAATAGTCCTCTTCAGTTTAGCACAATGGTTAGGAAGGTAAGACTCAGAGAAGGCTAAAAATCTTAGACTGGCAGTCAAGCGGAGGGAGTCACTTTGCTGGGAGAAGTATGGTAACTTGAGCACTATCCTCTCCTCCTTCCTACTTTATCTGTCTGCCTTATTAGGATTTTGACTGTCATCTGTTCATTGCTATTCACCCATTGTCCCATTGTCTATTTCATGGTGCGACGTCAAGACCTCTGAACATGGCCCCCTCCATCTACACCTGCAGACTGCCCTGCCCGACCCAACTGTATTGTATTGTATTTGTGGTTTGACCGGATATGGAAAATTAACCAAATTTTGAATATGAAAGTTTCCTGTTTGTTAATGTTTGAATATTTTTACATGTGACCTCTCAGCAGGACGTCAAAGCACAGACCAGGAAATCTATGTCTCTACAGAGAACAACCACAATGGACTGACCGCCTGTTGCTGGTTCAAGCTGCACCTCGGGCAGTTCACTACACACTGCAAAAAGTGATGAAAAATATGTCTGTCTGGGACAGAGAGCAAAATTATCTTGTTTACAAAAGATACAAAAAATGTCTCCCTTGGAATGAGAAAACAAAGCAACAGTATTCAAAATAGGACTAAATGGCTTTGTCCCATTGTACAATCTTGCTTTTCAGTCAGAATGTACTCAAGTTAGGATAAAAAAACACTTGATTCAAGCAATATCTTATAATTTTTTGCAGTGCAATCTCTTTTTAGCTTATATTTCAACCACATATAATTGTTTACAACTACAATGCAGCTATGTCCTCAAAGTAAGACAAAAGCACTCATGGATAAGTTTTTGCAGTGCAGAGCCAGTTTTAGTCTGGGTAAAGTATTGCCTCCAGAGCGTGTTGTGTGTGAAATCTCCCGAGCGTCTTCAGAGACTTTCCCCGTGTGACTTTAGCCCCTCCCCCTCACCAGGAACAGCGAGTAGCGGTCGGCGGCGATGAGCTCGTTGATGTGCAGGAAGATCTTGTGGCAGAGAGCTGTCACGTCCAGGTGACTGGAAACCTCCTTGACCAGCTCCAGCAGCCGTGCGCACCGGTCCCCCTCGGCTTGCGGGCACAACCCTCCTCCTCCCCCGCCTCCCCCCTCCCCCATGGCCGGCCCCCTGACGGTCTCGCGCTCTGTGTCGCTCAGGAAGGTGAAGGCTCCCTCCGAGTCCTTGACCACGATGGGTCTGAGCGGCCGGTCGAACTCCGAGGCCGAGATCTTGCGGGTGGGGGTGCCGGGTGCGGGGCTGGCGGGGGAGGGGCAGCGGTTGTCCAGCAGCGGGAGGAGGATGGTGGGGTCTGCGGGGGACTGGTGCGAGCGCTGCTGAGGCGGAGAGTCTTTAGTAGAAGAAGAAGAAGAAGGAGGCTGCAGGTTGTGGACGCGCTCAGCGAACCAGGCGTTTACCATCTCTCTGTGGAAAGACAGACGATGTCAGTTGATAATAAAGAAGCAAGTATAAAATCTTTAACTTTAGCAAAATAAGGAAGCAAATCTAAAACCTCCAAATGAAGAAACAAGAATAGGATTAAGATTACATTTCAGTGATGCATCACATGTTACAGAACAATAGGAATGAGGACCAAAAGATAAAGGAACAATAACGCTACACTACAATAAAATTAAAAACTGCAACTTTAGCAAAATATAGATGTAATAATTAAGAATAAATCTCTGACTTCAGCATAATAACTAAGCAAGTATGAAATCATATCAGAAATAGTATTTTTGTCATGAAGACAAGACCAGAAAAATGTCCGTGCACGTGTGTGAAGAATGTATATGTATAAGTATTCTCCGATTAACATTTAAGTGTGTTGATTGAGCGTGGCTAGCTCCGGAGTGGCCGGAACTACTTGCGGAGTTATCCACGCATTTGAAAGACAAGCAGAGAGTGCGTTGCCATGGGCAGCGGTCATTATTGTTTTGAGAGGTCCATTATAGAAAATAATGACCGGTAGAACGTTTTGAAATTACATTCAAATCAATGGAGCATTCTACTGCTGCTGTGAGGAGCCGTATAATAAATAGCTGTATGTTTACATCTGTACATGGCAAAGTGACTGTGAACACATGTGGTTCTATGTTGCACATATATATGACATTAGTTGAAATTAAGGGGCGACAGTAGCTCAGTTGGTAGAGCATTGGCCTTTGAGCCTGAAGGTCGTGGGTTCGAGCCCACCACAAGACCTACTTCACGACTGCTGTCGTTGTGTCCTTGGGCAAGACACTTAACCCCACTTTGCCTGAAGCCCCCTCTGAAAGACCAGGGCTCCTGTGGACTCACCACCTGCAGGAGGATCAGTGAGGGACTGGTGCTAAGTGTACTGGGTGCAGCTCCGACTGCCACCCCCCCTGACCCAGAAATGGATTAAGGGGAAGAAGATGGATGGATGGATGGATAGTTCAAATTATGTTCTGATATTGAATTGTTTTTCCTGTAACCGGGGAATTGGAAATAACAAAAATACATGCAAAAATTAACCATGTAGCATGTATAATCTGGTGGAGAACATGCCTGTCTTTGAGCTTACTATTGCAGTGCATTCACATAAAGACTAAACTAAACTATAACGAGTGCGTGTGACCAGACACGAATATGCAATGTCCATTTAGAGCAGAGGCCGTGCACTAATGACTAAACAAGAACATGTCAAATGTGCA